CCTTCTGTAACAAACAGAAATGCATAGCTGTTTACTTTGACATCCACAAAGCATTTGACTTAGCATGGCGACACAGAATATTAACAAAGCTGCAGACTTGGGGAATTCAAGGAAACATGTTGGCATTTTTGAATAACTTTCTAAATGAACGCAAATTTTCAGTACGTAGTAATGGAGAACTTTCTAGTATTAAGTCTCAAGACAATGGAACACCACAAGGATCTGTAATTAGCCCTACACTTTTTTTAATAGCAATGAATGATGTTATAAAAAATCTCAAGAGACCTGCACAGGCTAGATTATATGCTGATGATATGATAATGTTTATCAAAGGAAAAAATATTAACTCGATGGTCAAACTTTTACAAGAAGAACTAAATAAAATCGAAAGTTGGTCTAATAGGAGTGGATTCTATTTTTCAGCTGACAAGACACAATATATTATTTTTTCCAAAAAGCCTATTCACACTAACATACCTGCCTTAAAATTCGGCACAAAGTTTTTAAAACGAAGTACAAAGATAAAATATTTAGGCATAACATTCGACGAAACTTTAAGTTGGAAACCACATATTAAACAATTGGCGATATCATGTCAAAATGGTATAAATCTTCTTAAATGTTTAGCCAACAAACAATGGGGTGCTGACGGAGATACATTATTACTGTTGTATAGAAGCCTAATCCGATCAAAATTGGACTACGGATGCATTGCATATTCTTCAGCGTCGAAGTCAAATTTAAAAATCTTAGACGTTATACACAACAATGCATTACGCATAATCTCTGGAGCTTATAGAACAACTCCTGTTGCAAGCCTCGAGTGGGAACTTGGAGAGCCATCATTACATGAACGACGGAAATTACTTAGTCTATCTTACGCTTCAAAACAATCATCACTACAACCTGACAACCATTTTCTTACTCAGTCATCGTTATCAAATATCAATATAAGAACACATTTACCATTTCAATTAAGGATCAAAAACATTTTAAACTCTATTGAAATTTTTAACTTTCCCTCAACACATTCAGCAAACGTAAACACGCCACCTCCCTGGTTAATACCTTTGCCTACTTTAAATTTAGAACTATCATCATATCATAAATCTGAAACTAATCCACAAATATTTATAAGCAATTATAATAGAATACTTTCTTCTTTCCCTGAATATACCCAAGTTTACACAGATGCATCTAAAACAACTTCTGGTGTAGGATCATCATTTGTTATAAGAGACATAATAAAAAGTTTCAAATTGCCCACAGAATCCACTGTGATAACTGGAGAATTGTATGCAATATACAGAGCTCTAATTCACATACAAACAGTCAAACCAGATAAATTCCTTATTATTACTGACTCAATCAATTCCCTTCATATACTGTCAAAAATGTACACTTGCAACCCGATAGCTAAATTAATTAAAAACAAGATGCAGCAGCTGGAAAACAAAACATTAGTCTTCGTGTGGGTACCATCACATATAGGCATTAAAGGAAACGAACTAGCTGATAAAAATGCTCGAGAAATAGCAAATTCCCCAAATATCAGACCGATAATAAAACCATTAGCAGAAGATCTCAATCCGTACTTTAAACAAAAGCTGATATGTAATTGGACTAAATGTTGGGAAGAAAAATCCTCAAAGTTAAAAGAAATTAAACCAAATTTTGGACGATGGACTAACAACGCCCCTAGCCGTTTCCTTCAGGTTGTATTAACCAGGCTCCGATTAGGACACAGCAAACTCACACATGAATATCTCATGAAGAAGGAACCTCAACCAAAATGTACGAGTTGTGACGTGCCGTTAACAGTGAAACACGTATTAACGGAGTGTCCCAAATATAGTGCTGAAAGACTAACTAATAAAATTCCATCAGTTATAAGGGACATTTTTAGTGAGTGTACCAGTGAAAATATTGTGAAATTTTTAAGAGACTGTAACATATTGAACCACATATAAGTATGTTATTTATTTGGTATTTGTGCATTATTGTTTTCATTAAATTCATCCGCTAATAACCAATATGGTTGATGCGGCTGCCTTTAAATAAAAAAAAGGATGCAGTATGTCACCCTTAGTGTTTAATTTTTATATTGAGGCAGCCCTCCAAAATTGGAAAAACCACTGCCAGGGAATGGGAATCCCCATAGGAAATGACTACTTCTCCCTGAACTTTGCGGATAACCAAGTCGTCCCAGCTCAAGATTCTTATGATCTAGAATTTATGATAAAGCGTCTATACAGAGAATATGTAAAATGGAGGTTACAAATCAGCATGAAAAAAACAGAATATTTAGTTATCCATTCAGATGCAAGGTTTGAAGTGTTAATAGACGAGGACGTGGAAATCGAACAAGTGGAAAAATTTAAATGTTTAGGTGCCCTCATTGCTAAGAATGGCTTGGGAGAAACCAAATTAAAACCGAATTAATTAGGGACGTAAAATTGTAGGATGTCTGAACTCCTTATGATGGGATCGCAACATTTCCAAAAGGAACAAAAAAGAATAGGACAAACCATGGTTGAATCAGTTCTTTGTTATGGTTCTGAAGTATGGACAATTAATGCAGACCTGAAGAGAAGATTGTTGGCAGTTGAAATGGATTATTTGAGAAGAATTGCTAGAACATCAAGGCAGAAAAGAAGACCAACGAATCTATAAGAAATAACATGAATGCTACAGAAACGGTCATTGACAGAATAGAAAGAAGAGGTTCAAAATGGTTTGGACACCTATTGAGAATGATGCCTGACGAACGTTGGCCCAAAAACTTCATAAATGGAAGCCCCCTGGAAGAAGAAAAAGAGGTAGACCTCGACGATTATGGAATGAAGGAATTAGAAGAGCGATGGAATCGAGAGGTTTAGAGGAGGAGCATGTCTTGGACCGAGAGGATTGGCAGAGGAGAACGGGAATACGGCGATAGCCGTCTCCAAAATGTATTGTATTTACAAATTGGATTAATGTCAAAAGTCAATAAACTTATTTTAACTTTCAATTGTGGCTTATTCCCATTAATAAAAATAGTAATTACTTTAAAATGCCACAAGAAAATAGCTTTAGAACAATAGATATAATTTAAATGAGAGAAGGGAGTGTTCCAAAAAGTCATCAACCTTACAGCAGCCACCCCACTTTCGGAGTATGGTACATGCGACAGTTAACTGCGCACAAGTAAGAGAGTGTGGTTTAGTTAAAACCCAAATTTTAGGGACTAAAAGGAGGAGGTAGCCTAAAAAAATTTCAAACCCCTCCCCTCAAACAAATTCTGGGTGAGCCACTGTGTAGGTCAGGTGGTAAAATAGTTATACATGTATTGGACACCCTATATATATTACATATATAAGTGTCCAATTAAGTCGACACCATATGGGAAACTTTTTTATTTTTAGTTTTATGAAAAAAAGTTCTGCATGTTTTAAACCCTAAAATAAATTCATCAAATATTACACTTTTTCAGTCATATACGCAGTTTGTCAAAAATATGAATTGTGGATATTGTAACTCTTACAAAAAATTCATATTTTTTGAGAAACTGCATATCTTTTTATAAAGAATAAATTTTATAAAAACTCTATAAAAACGTTCATAAAACTAAAAATATAAAAAAAATCCATAGGGTGCCGATAAGGGTCTTCTAAGATTAATGCCACACATTTGCACTGCTCATGTAGTGACCTTCTCACAAATTAATTACATATGAATCTGTACACTCTAGTTTCTGAACTATAAGCGACAGATCTGAAAAATTAACAATGTAATTTATACCGAAATTCAAATAAGAGATATTAAGATACAGCAGTCATACTTAAATTAACAATAATTACTCTGCTGTACTTTTATGAGTTATGAGTATATGTGAGAATTGCACTGTTAATTCTCAAATATGTCTCAGATTGACTTCTTGATGCTTTTTATAACCTCCATGGTTTGCTGAGACATTCTATAGTAAAATTCATTAAGTGATGCAGGAAGAGGTAAACATTAAATCGTGTCCGAACCGGTATGAGCTGCAGACAACGCAGACGAAATAAAGATGGACATTTCAGTTAGTTTTTAAATATTTTTCAAAAACTGTTACTTGCATTTATGCATAAAATATTCATTAATTTGTATCAATCCGCTTATTTTTAACTTACTATGTATTCAGTGATAACATTAATTTATTTACACGAATATTTGAGAAAAGAAAAAAAATAAAGTGTCATAATTATACTGTTACTTATCGGAACGAGTACTCATTTGGAACATCTTTAACAATTATCTGTTAAATTTATCATTGTTTATATGCTCTGCATCGCTTAATGAAATAAGGTATAGTAAGGTAGTTTTGGATCTTCTCCACCCAAGAAACTTTCATTCATCTACAGCACTACACTTCAAAAGCCTCAAGGCATTTTACATCAATTTTATTCACAGTCCAAGGCACACACATCATAACAGGGAAACTTTTTTTATATCTGGATGTAGTAAATACCTCAAAAGAACCTGCAATGGACATACCTACTTGTTTATAATTTCATTGATCTCAGTATTCTTTGACATATTCACTACATCCAGATATAAAAGCTTCAAATATTTATCTAACATTGATGTTCCTATAAAATGTGTACATCTCTTGTGCCTTTATTATATTCTCTCTACCATAATACAGGCTCTGGATTACACTAGTGTTTTTACTGTTTCTGTTAATAGAATTATGTACTACCAAAGTTGAAACAAAGTTTTACTTATTTTCAAATGTCCAAATAAAATTCAGTTTCCCTTGATATTTCTCAAGTACTCAGCAACTCAAATCTCCCTATAAATTCTTATTTTATTTGATATTATTTATGAACATGATAAGTTTTCAGCTTTAAAACTAACCTATTATTACTAAGTTTTTAACATTTAGCTCTTTGAACTAGGTAAAAATATTTATTTCTTTTCCAAAAAGTATGATAAATATATTTTGCAAAAATACCTGACATTGAAAAAGGGAAATAAAATTCAGAAGTTAATTTTTTTCTTTATTTGTCCAAGTTTAATTTACAGATCACAAATAATGCAATGCAAGTAAGTCCATTAGTTATTAAAAATACATTGATACTCCAATATTAATATATAAAAGAAACAAAACATATCAAAATTATTTAAGTAATGGAGTCCAAGCAGACTATTTCTTCTTTTGTGCCTTTTCTGCAGCTTTTGTGACTTTTCCGGCGCTGGGATCTTTGAAGGCAACGCTCTTGATGACTCCTACTGCAACTGTTTGCCTCATGTCACGGACAGCAAAACGTCCAAGGGGTGGGAATTCTTGGAATGATTCTACACACATGGGCTTGGTGGGTACCAAGTTGACAATGGCGGCATCACCAGATTTGATGGCTTTGGGATTTTCTTCAGTGGTTTTACCAGAACGACGGTCAACCTTTTCTTTGATTTCAGCGAATTTGCAGGCAATGTGGGCTGTGTGACAATCGAGCACAGGGGTGTATCCATTTGAGATTTGACCAGGGTGGTTGAGTACAATGACTTGGGCAGTGAAGTCTGAAGCTCCTCTGGGTGGGTTGTTCTTAGTGTCTCCAGCTACATAACCACGACGCAATTCTTTGACAGAGACGTTCTTGACGTTGAAACCAACGTTGTCACCAGGTACTGCTTCCTGGAGTGCTTCATGATGCATTTCAACAGATTTTACTTCAGTCGTCAAATTGGCTGGAGCGAAAACTACAACCATACCAGGCTTCAATACACCAGTTTCAACACGACCTACAGGTACTGTTCCAATACCACCAATTTTGTAGACATCCTGAAACAAACACATTGAAATTAGACATCTTTAAAGAAACAAAAAATTAGAAAAATGAAAAAAAAAAAACATCAGAAAAGATTAAGCCTATGATAAAATCAGGTTTTCATTCTAGTTTGGTCATCATGAAATATATTTACAAGATTTGAAAAAAGGATACAGTTAATTAATACTTTACAATAATTACACTAAGTAAATTTTAGGTAAAATCTTTTATTATACGAATAAGAAAAAAAACAAGAACATTAAAACAAATAAGTGAAGGGAACAATGTCTACAGATATAAAATTTCTATCAATGAATTCTGCTTCACTTACTGATGATTGTACAATTTGATTGTCTAGAAAACATTTTTTATGTAATTTAAATTTAAAATGTGTTATTTTTAAAAGCCAATGAACAATAAGAATGAACTAATGAAAACCATTTAATATACCAAAGTGGTTTAATTCTAACCAATGTTGCCCTAGTTATACAAAATATGTTTCAAGAAATAATTAAAAGATGTTCAAATATTTTATTATTTTAAGTGATTCACAGGTTTAGATTTGGTTACATAGGTTAGGTTTATTAAAATTAGATTAAATTTTTAAAATCAAATTGTTAGGTCTTTTAAAAGTTAAAAAAAGTAAACAGTATAGAATGTATATAAAATTTTACTTTGTGTGCATATCATCCATATTATTTTGAAAGAATAAAAATCTTGATTATCTACTTTAAAATTACATATTTTTGTTAGCTTTTCACATCAATTTTTTTTTAGTATCCTATTACTTTTTTGATTTTTATGCACTTCTACTTGTTTCCAGCGAAGAAAACATTAAAATTTGAACTTTACTTTTAACAAAACACAAAAAATTAGACATTCTGAGGTATACCCTCTTACTAAATAATTATTAAAAGAAAACTTACCTGGAGTGGAAGACGGAGGGGCTTCTCAGTTGGACGAGATGGGGGTAGGATAGCATCCAAAGCCTCAATCAAGCATTTTCCTTCAGCTTTACCTTCTTTACGTTCAATATTCCATCCCTTGAACCATGGCATCTTGTCAGATCCTTCTAACATGTTGTCCCCATGCCATCCTGAGATTGGCACAAATGCAACTGCAGCTGGGTTATAACCAATCTTTTTGATGTATGAGGATACTTCCTTCTTGATTTCCTCAAAACGTGATTCACTGTATGCGGGTTCAGTGGAGTCCATTTTGTTGACACCAACAATAAGTTGTTTTACACCAAGGGTGAATGCAAGAAGAGCATGTTCACGTGTTTGTCCATTCTTTGAAATACCTGCTTCGAATTCACCAGTACCAGCTGCAACAATAAGTACAGCACAGTCAGCTTGTGATGTACCAGTGATCATGTTCTTAATGAAATCTCTGTGTCCAGGAGCATCAATGATGGTTACATAGTATTTAGCTGTTTCGAATTTCCACAGAGCAATATCAATTGTAATACCACGTTCTCTCTCGGCCTTAAGTTTGTCAAGTACCCAGGCATATTTGAATGAACCTTTACCCATTTCTTGGGCTTCCTTTTCGAACTTTTCGATGGTACGTTTGTCAATACCACCACATTTGTAAATTAAATGTCCAGTAGTAGTAGATTTACCAGAATCTACGTGTCCAATGACGACAATGTTAATGTGAATCTTTTCTTTACCCATTTTGATCTATAACAAAAACAGTAGTGTAAAAATGTGACATGCTAAATTTAAAACATACATATAAATTAAAATGATTGAGACTGTTCCTGGAACATGAACAATATGAAGACCACGTTCAGGTTAACCTGAAAATTTTGCACAATATATTTGTAACAGCACCACAGCAGGTTCTGTAGATATAAAAAAAGTTAAATGAATACATGTATATATTCATCTATAACAAAAACAGTAGTGTAAAAATGACATGCTAAATTTAACATACATATAAATTAAAATGATTAAGACTGTTCCTGGAACATGAACAATATTAAGACCACGTTCAGGTTAACCTGAAAATTTTGCACAATATATTTGTAACAGCACCACAGCAGGTTCTGTAGATATAAAAAAAGTTAAATGAAGAATACATGTATATATTCATCTATAACAAAAACAGTAGTGTAAAAATGACATGCTAAATTTAAAACATACATATAAATTAAAATGATTAAGACTGTTCCTGGAACATGAACAATATTAAGACCACGTTCAGGTTAACCTGAAAATTTTGCACAATATATTTGTAACAGCACCACAGCAGGTTCTGTGGATATAAAAAAAGTGAAATGAAGAATACATGTAGAACACGATGTGACACAAAGAACAATCTACTCTTCTACAAGAGTAGAATAAAATGGATTACCTGAATATGTGACATGGATGAATTTATTACAAAAGAAAGAGTAACCGGCATTAGGAAAAATAGAAATAGAAAGACTAAAACAGCAAAAGCAATACGGCACTAGATGTAAAATAATTGAGGAAACAAAGTTGACAAATACAAAAAAACTACAGGCCAATCACCCTAGTTATAATTAAAAACCCAAGTTTTGAGCATCACCAAAATTATTCTACGAACAATTTAAATAATTTTCACTAAAAAACCGGCTGAGTAAAACAATAAAGCCGACAACAGGTGGATATCCTGCACATGTATGACCTGAAGAACACGACCATCTCATGTAGATCGAATCTTTATGATAAATGTAATATTATAACCGATAAATATCCTAAATTTTATAAAAGAATTAATATTTTTAAAGAAAATCTAATAATAAATTCAATTTAAATCAATTAAAGCATATGGCCGCCATTACCGAAGTACAATGTACACGTGGTGAGCAAAGGTTTTTGTTAAATTACTCGAAAAATACATATAATTAGAATCTAAATAATATATAAAAGCTTGTACTTACTGTTTGGAAATAAAGTAAATGCAACTGTTCGAAATTAAACTTAGAATAAAAGGAACACTACTTGGGATGTAACAACAGGCACGAGGTCCACACCGTACGACGAGCAAATTAAAAAGGAAGATAATCTCAACTTGCGCTCTGTCTTCACTTTTCATTCCTTCTGGGGGTTGGATGTTTGACATCACTTCCTTTTTACTCGCGCCATCTACCGATAAGTTTAAAATTTCGCGCCATTATACGAATAATTAGGATGAAAAGGATCCAAATAAGGATAACTTAATTGTTCAGGAGATTATCAAGATGTTAATGATGGTATTTGAAATTTTGCAATAATATCGATAGATAAACTGAGCAAGAAAGAGAGCACCCCATGAACTATGCAACACCTAAAACAGAAGACAAAAGTTAATTGGTTCACATGCTAGGAGAAATATTTTATTTATAAAACGTAATATTTAATCGAGATGTATATATGAGTAAATTCAGACAATTTATACAACACAGTATTTTTAAAAGCTAATAAAATATATGCAAAATGTCACAAAATTTAGAATGATAATTATCTTTGACTTTGATTAAAGTATTCCAACTCGATATAATTGTTTGGGGTTATATATTTCAATCGAGTATTTAGCTGCACAACTAGTTTTAGTTGATCGGAACTGTTTGGAAGTTAACTTCGTTATCTGGGTGCACTATTATTCCATATAACGGATCTTTTAATTTTAAATAAGTTATATGACCGTCGCAGGTATTAAAAAGTATTATGTTTAAAAATTACATTATCACTATAATAAATAGCTAATAAATCAACATAAATTGAAAATACGTCAAAATAGAATCTATTGTAATATCACGTCCTCTCTCAGAATCTATACCTGTGCTTTTATAGGATTACCTTTAAAATAATTGATAAATATACATATGAATATAATTAGAGGAATACAAATTAATCATTTACTTAATTCTAACATTATGCAATATTACGCAGTTTAATAATTCATTGGGTCTTGTCAATTTTATAAATAAATAGAATTTCTGAAAACAAAGATTAATTTTGTTTTTTATCTATAATTTAGATATGATGGATATCCTTATTGGATAAAATGTATATGATATTTGCTCTTCACATTCATATTACATCCTAATTTCGTTTAAAAATTCCTGACATATTGCGCAATACCATACATTATTCATAAAAATACCTACATGATGCACAAAAATCAGTTTTACTTTTTAAATAATAACACGGATGAGAAACACTATTATCATTAGTATGATTATTTTTTTCGTGTTAATGTACTCTCGGATTTAAAATAAGTAGTGCGTCTAGGAGTTTAGCATGTTTTAAAAATATAAATGTCTAAATATTTATTTTTAGTTCACTAGAGCATAGAAGATATAAAAATATTTACTTCCTAGAGATTTTTTAGCGGCAAAAAAATTTGTCGTTAAATTGCTAAAGTGACTTTCGTCTTTAAGACATGCAGAATATCTACAAATCGAGATGTTAGATATACTTATAATAAAATTCCACGTTAACTCGCATGGTACTCTGGTAGTAGCAATAGTGGTAAATCACAAGACAGACACGCATGTAATGATTAAATGAAAATATGTTTTCAAAATAGAATGAATGTGAGCTGAAAAGAAGAAAACCAATAATATATGATTAAGTTGACCAATAATCCATAAATATATTTTTAGGATTTACTTGCATCAAAGCTACCAAGAAGGTTTCAGATTGGCCAGTAAAAAGAACAGATTAAATTGTCGACTAAGGCAAAATAACTTCACACTAGATATAAAAGGAGCAAACATTTATAAGTGTAAAATATGTACCAATACTTAAAATTTATAAAAACGAGGAATAAGTTTAAGTGATATTACATAAAAATCTTCTATAATGCTGTTAGAGTTCTTGCTTAAAAACAGATTTATTTGTAGTACGGGCTTTCACGATAGTTGTTTTATAAAGATACATGTGGTAGATACAGCAGTGGTAGATATTATCAAAGGCGATGAGGGAACAGTCGTAACTATCTCCTGCTAATTTATGATGATTTTCGAATTGTTCACTAAAAAACACGATGGAGTCAATATGACCTCCGAGATCCCCAAAATCTTCAGATCTTCAATTGAATACGTGTGGGACATGCTGGATCGAAGATTTCTTAATTTAGAGCATGCTATTCAAACTTTATTAGGCAGGAAGGAGTCACTTAGGGCATGGAACGAGATACGTCAGGAGAACATCCAACATCCACCTGGAATGACTGTTGGGTGGATCGAGTAGCTTAACAGTCTTTCTTGCCGGTCCCAAGCCCGGATAAAGGAGGAGGGTTAAGCGGAAGGCCAACAACCTGCCCTTATAAAAAACAGTCTGTTATTAAAACTGCAAGTTTGCCTCGGAATCGAACAGATACATATGAAAAACGACAATCGCAATGGACTTTGAATGTTGGAACATGGAATGTCCTAAGTTGGTACCGGACGGGAGCATCTATACATGCAATAAAACAGTAGAAAAAGTAGGAATGGACATTACGGCAATACAAGAACTAAGGTGGCTAGACACGGAAAACATAAAAATAGACAAGGCGGTCATTTTCTACAGTGGAAACCAGACAGGAAAACACGAATTTGGCACAGGTTTCGTAGTACGAGAAGAATATCTGAACAGTATTATAAGTTTCACGCCCATTAGTGAAAGACTTTGTTATATTAGACTGAAAGGAAAATGGTACAATATCTCAATTATATCCGCACATGCTATGACAGAAGATAAAGACGAACATATTAAAGATTACTTATATCTTAAACGACAATAGACAAAGACTCGTAGAGCTAGCATCGGCTAACAATATGCTTGTAAAGTCTACTATGTTCCAACATAAAAACATTCATAAACAGACTTGGGTCTCTAATGACCACTCCACGCGGAACCAAATTGACCACGTAATTATCGATGCTAGACATGAAAGTAATGTGCTGGATGTAAGAAGCCTCATGGGAGTAGATGGAGATACAGACCATCACCTAGTAAGAGCAAAAATCAGGTTGAGAATATCTTCAGAGAAACCTAAGGCCAACGAAGCATTGGTACAGTGAAACATCGAGAAAATGCAAAATGAGGAAATCGAGAAAATTACAAACAAGAAATTAAACAGCATCTAAATACAGTAGACCAGAGCAATGATGTCGAAAGGCTGTGGCAACAAATGGAAAAATCAATTACGGAGTCAGCAGAACTAATAATAGGAAAAAGCAGGAAGAGAACAAGGAAATGGTTTGATAGAGAATGTAAAGAAAAACTGCACGACAGACAGATTAAGCGAAACATTATGTTTTAAAGAGGAACAGCAGAAAGTAAAGAAAACTATGAAATGAAAAAGAACTGCTCCAAACATGGCAAGAATATTTCAAGACTTTACTAAACATACATCAAAAGGAAGAACATGGAGAAAATATATATTTTGGGGTGGACCTACCGGTAGAGGATCCCAAAATAGATAAAACGTTGCAAGCAATTAACAAATTGAAGAACGGAAAAGCTCCAGGCTTTGACAATATACTGGCTGAATTCCTTATGTATAGAGGAGAATCTCTACATAGACAAATACACAAACTAATAACACTTATATGGAATGAAGAGAAAATACCAACAAAATGGCACGAAAGTGTAATAATCCCCATCCATAAAAAGGGAGACAAAACCAAGTGCTCTAATATAGAGGAATCTCCCTACTTAATATGGTATATAACATCTTATTAAGTAGGCTGAAACCGTTTGTAGAAAATTTCATGGTTGAATACCAAGCCGGCTTCAGAAAACATAGATCGACCATAGATCAGATCTTTACCCTAAGACAGCTGCTTGAAAAAGGATGGGAATTCAATAAAACTATCCATAATCTCTTCATAGTTTTCTGGCAAGCATACGACAGCATTAAAAAGGATCAGATGTGAAATGCAATGACAGAACTTTCAGTTCCAAAAAAACTTATCCAGCTTGTTAAATTATGTGTAAATAGCTGTAGATCCAGAGTACAAGTAGCAAACTCTCAGAATCTCTCGAAATAAGCAGTGGTCTGAAACAAGGAGTTGCGCTGTCACCTCTCCTTTTTAATATCATCCTGGAGAAAGTAGTAAGAGCAGCACAACTTAAAACAGAATTACTGACAGTAAATGGACCAAAATTACTACTAGCATACGCAGATGACATTGACATTGTGGGAAACACAGTCACCAATGTGAAGGAGACTTTTAATAAATTGGAGGTAGAGGCAAAGAAAACTGGTTTAAGGGTAAACGAAGAGAAAACCAAATACATGTGCATCAACAGACAAAAGGGACGAGATAGAATAGGGCAAAATGTTACAATAGACCCATATAACTTTGAAAGAGTGGAGAGTTTTAAATATCTCGGAGCAACAATCACTGCAGATAACGATATCGCGGAAGAGATTAAAGGAAGAATTCAGGCAGCAAACAGATGTATGTACAGCCTCCACAATACTATTAAATCTAAAAGCCTAACACGAACATCAAAGATTAGAATATATAAAACGGTGATTAGACCGGTGCTCATGTATGGGTGTGAGACGTGGACCCTGACCAAAGAAACTGAAAGAAAACTTAGATGTTTTGAGAGGAAAATCCTCATAAGAATCTTTGGGCCTTATCACGACATTAATAGCAACCAATACCGAATGAGAACAAATGCTGAGGTCAAGCAGATGTATAGAGCGAGCGACATAGTCCAAGAGATTAAATCCCAAACGTCTAAGATGGGCTGGCATGTCCATAGACTCCTAATACGCCTTGCCAAGTACTACGTCTTCAAAAAAACTTCCAAGCAGGTTTTTTAGTCTCAATTAAAATTTTCTTAAATCCACGACCCTTCATAAGCTCCTGCTGCGGCCATTGAATAGTTTACAGCCTTACATATCTAGTGGCCGATTTTTTTAATTTTTACCTTGTTTAAATGCATATTTTACTCCAAACTGACGTTAATTACCAGTGGCGGACCCGGAATAGGTTAATTAAAATTAAATCAAAATAAAATAAACAAAAATAACAAATCAAACATTTCCAACACA